CTGACCCCCGGCATCTGCCCATCGGCGGCCCTCTTCTGGCCACACCATCAGCGGCGCTCCCGGACCAGATCAGCCTGACCTGCTTGCGACGATGGCGAGGTGTCTCGTCTCTCAGGCACAGGTTTTGGCAGCGATGGTCCCGGGAGTACATTTCCAGCCTCCAGCAGCGGTCCAAGTGGCACCAGGGGGAGCCCAAGATCGTCGTTCGAGCGCTCGTCGTCGTCGCAGAAGACAACCTTCCGCCACAGCAGGGGAGGATAGGACGAGTGGTAGCGGTGCACGCCGACGCCGATAGCAAGGTTCGCGTGGCGGTCGTCAGGACGCAGGAGGGGGAGTATCGGCGAGCAGTCCACCGACTGGCCCTGTTGCCCGTTCTGGAATGAAGGAGCTCGTCCCTACAGAGGAGGCGGTGTTTGCGCACTTGGCGCTTGTATTTGAAGTTACTAGTTGTAGGGCGAGAGCGGGAGCCAATAAAGCTTTCGTCCGTTCGTTCTTGCGAATTCGCCCCGTCTCTCGCCACCGTAGCATAAGTTAGCTTCTAAGAGAAATTATTGAAATATTAAATTTAGTGATCAATTTCGATCGTCGTCGTATCCACTTCTTTTCGTTGTCGTGCATTCGAAATAGTTTCTTCACAAGTTTCGCAAAATAAATCGTCTCGAACTACTGCAGTCACACGTTTCGCGTTATTAATACAAACCAGCATTCAATTTTCATTAATTTGGATTATTTCTAAGTTTCTAACGCAAGCGTTTCCCATACCTCCAAATTGACTTAAGGACTGCATTGTACAAAAGTACATTATATCCCTGTTTTAGCGGTAATCGGGCGTTTATGAACCATAGTAGACTCCCAGCTTTAAATTTGAGTAGATTTCTTTTAGCTTCGATGGTCTTACGCCAAGTGGACACCAAGGTACGTTACTTCAGTAGTTTGAGGAATATTAATATTGTTCAATGATAATGAAGAGCAAGTTTGTCTGTTTAAGGGGGTAGTAAGGTTTAGAATTTTCAAAAAATCGATTTTTTTTTTTTTTTTTTTAAGTCACTATATGCCCTTAGAAATAAGTTAGAAACCCTTTTTAACCGCAGACGGTAACAGAAGTGGCCGAAAAATGAATTTCGCCGCAAGGCCGCGAGAGCATGGCTATTGCATGACCCTCGGCCTTTATTGTAAATTGATATTTAATAACAATTTAAAGCAGTTTATGTTGAAAAAATGTGGAAAAAAAAACGAAAAATCACGAAAACTATCACCATTTGTTTATTGATCAATATTTTTTCATAATTGGGGGTCATGCGATAGCCATTTATGGGCTCTTTACGAATAACCTTCATTTTCGTGTTTCAGATGACTTGAAGATGAGAAATCATGGCGATCGTTTTTTAACATGGCGTCATTAGATCACCCATAACTTGGCCAGATATTAATGAAAAATGAAAACTTTAAGGGCCTTTTAAACCTGACTACCCCCTTAAAGTAAAGGTGACGTTCCATTTTTCCAAAAGCACAAAATGAGCTGATATGTTTTGCGTTGCTCTTGCAGTGCACTTTGACTTTCTATAATCATTTTAGGGGAAATTAAATCGTGGTCCGGCGCTTTTTATATCTTGACATTTTATCACTCTTGTAACTTATTCTGATTGGAACATGATAGGCGGGATTGCTTCATGATTGCTGACTATTGGGAGCACAAAGCAATTTGATGCTGAAAGTGGTTTGAAAACGTTTTTTAGGTGAACGGTCAATGTATTTGCCCTCTCTTCGTTGCTGCGAGCCCAATCTCCTATTTGTGTATGTAAAAGTTATTCACTCTCGATTGGTAGATTTAGCTGTCAACAGTTGATGTCGTTTACTGTTTGCAGAGAGTCGCTCCATAAAGGATACTTGAGCTTGATTTCTCTCATCTTCGAAAGCTTTACGTAAAAGACTGTTGGCTAGTTTTAACCGATCATTCGAGGCAGGTGATCTATGAGCATGCCACTCTCGCCGAAGCCTTTTCTTAGTGCGAAGCAAATTTTTAATAAACCTTGTGAAGCACGACTGCTGTTGAAAGGTTTATTAGTGGAGTTGTCTTATAAGATACTAATGCTTCTACTGAGCTTTTGATGTGTTCTCCACCAGAAATATTTGGACAGTACCAAGGTGGTCGCTTACACACTTTATGTTATTCAGCCAATCTGTTTTACTAGAAGTTAGAAAGTGAGGACGTTCTAAAAGCTGTGGAGTAAAATTGGTGAGTGATCCGATGATAAATCTGATAAGTACTCTTCGCGTGTATGAGACTATAGCTACATTAATCAAGTCTGTTGGCCAGTATGTAGGCTTGTTCGGAAAAATAAAGTCAAGCTTCTTTCGTGGTCTTCCTTTGGGGTTGGTGAGTTATGATACTCAGTGGGTGAGTTTAGCCTTATAGTCACCAGGAGCTTTAAAGCGGTCACCTAGTACACAAAAAAGTTTACAAATTCTTCTTGGGAAATGGAGAAGCGCGGTGGACAGTATACGGCGGCTATGTTATGTAGCCGCTTTGAGTCTCTGTGTATTGATGTTGCTTGTATATAAGTGGTTGCAAATGATGGACATTGGTAATGCCTAATGCGATCCTTGATCAGAATGCCAGTACCTCCATATCATTTACCATCGGGATGATTTGCCGCATAAAATGTATAGCCATAAAGATGAAAATAATGTTTATTCGTTAAGTGAGTCTATGATATAAGCATAACGTATTGGTCTAAGAACTGCAAGAGTTCATGGTATACACGGTATGTTTTGTCGGCTTAATGGGCTTTGAGCTAGGGTTAGACTAGATTTTAGCTCTTTATTGACAGGGCATCCTCTGTAGTTGGCGGTGTTGTTTCCTCCAAATGGTACTCCTTATTTACAGGGCAGGCCTCAGTTGCAACACATGCAACGCATACGGCGCGCAGGAAGCAGTACGTTCTCGTTCTCCGTTCCGTTTGTGAGGTTCCTCAATGGTGATTCTGCGGTGCAGAAGGTATTGAAGTTTGTAAATTGGGTGAACTTCAGTTATTTTTAAGTGTCTATTTTCTGGCTCCAGTTCTACCTTGAACATTGGCTGGGAAATTTTATTTCTATTTATTATATTCATGGCCACTTTGACGTCAAAGCCTTTTTCTTTAGGTGTCGTTTTTATCTCATCAATCAGAAATGTTGGATCGATTCCTTTAACTACCACTTGCAGTCCTTTGCTTGGCTTTATTCACAATGGAAATAATATGATGAGAAAACTTTAGTTTTGAGGCCAGATAGACGGGAGGTCATAATCATGAATTATTGTAATCAACGCAAAACTTTCCAGAAAAAACGTGGTAAACGGAGTGTATTTTTTTAGGCATTGAAGGAAGTAGAGGGCGCTGGGTACGCGCTTCAATGCAATTTCTCATTTCCATTGGACTCTTTTTTGTTCTTTGCTTGGTACTCCATTTCAAATTTTCCTTTTTGTCGGAAACAATAGGCATACAGTTGAAAAATGCTTACAAAAAATACCAATCTTAAATAATGACCAGAAAATTTGAATTTTTCAATCGTGACTGTTTTTGGCACAACACAATTAATATATACACGACCAATACCGGCCGGTTATCCGGACGTTAAGTAAATCTACATGACTTGTTGGGGTCACTAATATTTATTTTTGCGTCCTTTGCGGCACCATATCACGAAAAGCACTCACCGGTATATATGGGGAAATCGGGCTCCGATCGCATACGGCTAGTCAGGTGATGGTAGCGTTAGCCACTAATCTTGTCGATGGTAATTTTACTGTTATTTTGTCGTTAGTGTGGCGAAAAAAAGTCTGTTGTCAATATGCATTTCTAGCCATTTTTCAGTGAGCAAAAAGTAATTTTCACGCTTTTTTAGACCACTGCTATGCGCATCTCAAAATGAGATAGACATAGAGAGTGGCAGATCAGGAGCGTTTCAACGTTTACGTTTTGCCGTGCAAACAACTTCTCAACGATTTTTAACTGCTCAAATAAAATATCAGCCAGACAGAAAAAGAGTATAATTCGGTATTAACAACGCTTGACGACTGAGAGCGAAAAAAAAAACAAAAAATGACGGAACTAGAATTATAAAAATTATAGGAGCGGCAGAAGATTTACAATAACAAACAAACCAATCATCGAAACCAATGTTCAAAAATGATTTTGTTTATTTAAACACAAATAAAACGCAGTAATCTTGCGTTACGAACGAAATGGTTTCCAACAAAAAATGACAATTTGAAGCGCAAAACAAAAACACGACCTTTCACTGTAATTTGCGAAGAAGTTCTAAAAAATTAAACTCGCTCGGAGTTTTGGGACACCTAGGAAATTTTTCCTCTGTTTCACAATGGCGCAATTTTTGCGGACCCCTGTGTATATCGGTTATAATGAGTACACGTTACAAAACAATACATTTATGGTGATCTTTCAATCAATTAAACACGTACATTACCAAAAAAAAAATTTCAAACTTGAACCATTATTCATATCTTTCTATAGACTTACATTGCCTCTAAAAAAATATAGCTTTAATGAAATTAAAATTGATTTCATTGAAGATATGTTATTTAAAGGCACTTTAAGATTGAAGAAACTATGTAAAACCAGAAACTTCAAGTTTCTAGCATGTTCAAGTTTCTACCGCAGATCTCTTGGCTGATGGAACATATATGAGACTTTTACTCAGGAGTACCCAATTATTATAGAAAAGTACAATTGGTTCGTGGAAATTCCAAAAAGGTCGGTTTTGTGCTCCTGTGTTATTTCATCGTTCCTATAACAGCTTTATAAAAACAGTCATCCTTTTTTTAAACTAAAAAAAGTATATTTTTCCTATTATATAAAATTTCTACAGCTTAGAAGCTATGCTTCAATCTAAATCGAAAAATATATACTTATCTATATTCGGGGAGATCTTCTTTACTGCACTCTAAAAGTACCTTTGCTTGAAGTTATCCTTCAAAAATTTGATTTTTTAAAGGATACATATATTATGTCACTACAGTATCGAATGTTCAGATTTTCGTTTATTCCAATTTCATCTAATTCCGACATTGTTGTCATATCTGCAACACCAACTTTACGGTCGCTCGACATCATATCTAAAATAAAAAAAAAGGTTAGGTCATTACATATTTTACATTAATTATACAAACATTTTGGTTTGTTAGATGGTAAAGAACGGATTTAAGTAACTACATAACCAATTAATAATACTAACTACGTGTTAAGTAAAATAAGATTAATGCTTTTCAAATTGGTAAAAAGTCAGTAATAGAAATAGAGTTTATTATAGTCATAACATAGTAACATTATGAGTCATGCAAATCATAGTTTGGTCTACAATGTTTCAAAATAAGAGGAATAAAGTTCATAGTGATACGAATAGGCACTTTGAAATTTAGGCAGCCTAGTAGTTCGGTACTCTCAACATCCCCCCAAATAAGTTTACAAATAAAAGTAATACCAAGAATCGTTCTACGGCAGGATAAATATGGTAAATTAGGAAAAGTGTACTAGAGTAAAATGGTTTTGCATCCTAGCTAAGACCCCATAAAGCAAATATTAAAAACACACAAAACACAAACTGTATTTGGCGTCTATGTACACCATATTGGGGACTTCAAACTGGTGAGCAGTACTCCAGGATTGGACGAACTAATGAAAATAATAAGGTCTTTGTGACATACAGATTATCGAATTCCTTTGACCACATTTTTAAAAATACAAGCACTCCCCTGTCTTTATTCAACATGGACGGAATATGGTCAGAAAATTTAAGTTTTGGGTCCAGAAGAACGACAATTACATTAATTTGTCTAATACTAGTCAACTCGCAACCACCCAAAGTATAATATTCACCGCATGGTTATTACAAAAACAACAAAAATTTGGAACGCTCAAAAAACTCGAGCAATCGAATCGTGTTTTTTAATCGCTCCGTCAAATATTTTCTGATTTATCAGCCAAATATGATTAATCAGTCAAAATAAAAATAATCACAAATAATTAGTTACACGAAAACACGCTTATAGACAGTTAAATTGACAAAGATGTCAACATGGAAAAATGATTTGGATGTGACAACATAGAATAAAATACAAGCGGCACCCGTCTGTCCCGTCACTCCCGACAATACGATCGAAAAGTGCATCAAATTGGGTTTGCCGAGCCCAGAAGTCTCAGAAGCCGAACATAGGCTCCCAACCGACCTACGAAACGCATATTTATTTTTATACTCTCCGAAAAGCACCGAAGAGTTCGACAAATCGGTATCTCTTGCACCCCTCAGCTTGCAGAATACCCCTTGTCACTATCAGTCACCAAACACTCCGACACATGTAGTATCATTCGCTAATGCTCTTTGGTACCCAGGTATGGTTCCAATCACATTAACAGGACCAGTACCAGAAACAAACAACTTTCATTTCCTGGTGCCATTTTTAGTTGTGCGCACAGTTAAAAGAGTAGTAGATAATAACCAAAAAAGCTGCTTTTAATGATATTAAATATACAATGAAATATTCTTCGAAATAATGTTTAAACCGAAATTACAAACCATAGATTCCAAGGTTCCAATTTTTTTATTGGTGAAATATTTTTTAGAGACACTATAGGAGAAATTGTAAAAAATAAGAGATTTCGACTTTGAGGGTATATTCCAAAAACATGGTCAATGGTTCGAGCTTGAGACACTTTTTTTTCTAGTGCGGTGATGTATTGAAAGGGTTTTCCAGCAACAAATAATTTGGTGATTCCAGTTGGTTTAACTACATAATTAAAAGGAGTCGATAATCGGGTTTTCGTATTCTAAGCATAAACATATGTATGGGATTTTATGGAAAAGAACAATTGGTTCGTGGAATTTCTTCGCTGTGTACCTGTGAAATTAAGAGGCATTCGAACCGCTTCAGTCATGTATTAATACTTTTTGTTTAGACAGGCATTTTTTATGGCAGCAAGCCGACTGGAAACATCTAAAAAGTGTATTTATTTAGTCGAATGTTTATTCTTATTATTCTGTGTTTTCTTCAGAAAATGTAGTATCAGATTTTTTGAATGTTAAAGGTGCAACTAAAGGGACAAAAATATACCGATTTTTATCTTTTTATGTTTAACGATATACTATATTATATAGTTGTACAAATAAAACCGTAATACTGAAACAATAAACCACCAATTTGTATCAAAGTATGTTATAATCAATTGAAAAAAAACCAGGTTATACATGTTTTCATATATTTAACACATGAGAGCTATATGTAATGGTCTTACGATTTTAATGAAACTAAAACCGTAACTCTGAATTACTAAACCATTACATTAATTTAAAAAATATAAAAAAAAAAAAATTAAAATTTTTTTCCGATTGTTCCCATGGGACAAGGTTTGAGCGTTTGGCAAAGTTTTATGCATTGCTTTAAAACTGATGGCCAAGTTTACGTAGAAACGGATGGACAAACAGACGGCAATGGCTAAATCGACTTTTCTAAAATCGGAAAACGATATCATATAGCTGCCATAGGAACTATCGAATAATTGAACTGGAAAACATCATAGCTTCAATGTTTTTAAACATATAAGCAAGTTAATCATAATGTTTTCAAGAATATTTAATTTTTGCAATAGCTGCAAGGGTATATGAACTTCGGCTTGCCGAAGTTTGCTTTCCATTCTTGTTGATATCGTTTTCCGATTTTAATAAAATTAAAAGCGTTATTCTAAACTGTCAAATTATTAATGTCGAAAAGATGCTAATCATAATTTTAATGTTTTCAACAAAAATTAAGTTTTGCAATAGCTTTAAGTGTATATGACTTCGGCTTGCTTAAGTTTGCTTCCTTTCTTGTTTATTTAAGCTTCAAACTCTTTAACCACCATATTTTCCAGCCAAATCTCTCCACAGCGAAAAGTTCGTTTGTGATAGTCATCTTCTCCGTAGCGTAAGAGAAGTCGTATTTTTCCACCTACACATTAACGGGACGGGATTTAGTTTTGTCATGCATATAAGACAGTTCATCAGAAGATGTTTGAGAAGGGATGAAACCAGAGAAAGGGGTTCGTAACAAGCCGTTTGCCGTGTGCATAAAAGTATTTCACACAAGAGCCTGTTCACAAGAACACAAACTATCACAAAGAATTTATAATCGATCTAGAGCTATAATTTATGATTTGTTACTCGAACAAGTCAAGGGTGCTGTAGCAGATAAATGGCTACTTTCCGTATGCTGATAATGCTCTGACTCTCGTGATGTGTTCTGATTCGATTCGCTATATTTTCGCAATACATGTGGTTTATACAATCTTGAAGTTGTTAAGTTGTGTTGTTCCGCGCTAACACTAGATGTGGCTTAAGTCGCTACGTGTGTGGTTGCTACATAATTTCAGTTACGTTAGATTCAAATTCAAACTTATAATTATAACAATAGATCCTATCCAAAATTCCCCCCCGTTAAAGAACCATTTTTTTAAGATTAAGCTGCGGGGAGGAGAGCGAGTTTATGAATCAGAAGCATCATAGTACCCTTTTAAGTTTTCAAATCGGCGACACGCACGGCTCTGTCTCGTCCAGTGATAACATTGGTCAGTCTTCCAAGGAGTCATTGTTGTGGAGGCATGTTATGCTCTTGAACAACGACAAGCTGGCCAACCTCCAAGTTTGGCTGCCTGATTGACCACTTTGTCCGTTGCTGAAGGCTGCGTATGTAGTCCCTATGCCAAAGGTGCAAGAATTGTTGCTTAAGGTAAGCAACCCTTTGCCAACGATCGAAGTAGGACATTCCTTTTGGATCCATGGCGTTGAAGAGTCTTTCGTCAGGGGCGGCTAGTAAGCTTGAATCAATTATCAAATGAGCTGGAGTGACTGCCTCGTCGTCATTCGGGTCATCAGATGCGGGAGCTATTGGCCTTGAGTTGAGAATAGCCTCCACTTCTATGAATACGGTTTGAAGCTCTACTGGAGTTAAGTTAGCATTTGAAACCGTTTTTAATACAAAAGTCTTCGTTAATTTGACTGCGGCTTTCCAAATTCAATCGAAATGTGCTGAAAAATGAGCCGCAGAAGTCTACGACCGAAATCAAAAATTGTCGATTTTGCCTTAACCTATCGGCTGGTAAATCTCCCATGAATTGCTTCAACAACTGAGGCTTATAATGAAAGCAATGTCTACAATTTCTAATACGTTTTCGAATCACTGCTCTGGCGTTAATTATCCTTAGAACCAGTATGATGATTTGAACGATGAAGATATTCAATGTAAGGATACACAAACCTATGATGTTTGAGGAGTTGAAGAACTCCCCACAAGTTAGAAAGCAAGCAGAGTAAGTACATGCAAGCAGTGGCATACCTGTGAGCAGTTATGCGGCAAATTTTCCGTAGTAACGGTAGTGCGGCGAGAGAGAGTGGTGCCCTGAGCACGAGACAAGGATAGAGAGAGTCCGAGAGGGACAGCAATATACGAGAGCAGCGAAGTGCCGTGGGCAGAAGGAAGTAACGGGACGGCACCGGACTTCGAACCCTGATATTGGTGCCGTGCGCAGAGAGCGAAAGGTCGAACGCCGTGGACTTTGGACCAGGAGGCAACGAGACGCCGATAACTAGCGGTAAACAGAGGCCTATACAAGCAGGCCGAGCGCTGGAAGCTAGAAGAGTCGTTTTCTACCAAGTCAACAAGTAACAGTAATCAAGTGAACCAGTAACCAGTGAAACAACGTGAAGATCAAGTAGAGCCGTGCGGAGTCATCAAGGAAAAAGATCGCTTCGTCGAGACGTTCATGACCTAGAACTAAAGTCTCCGAATTGAGACACAGGTAGCTGAGGTCCTTACGGCATCACATGGCTAAGTCCAGGCGCTTTGACACAACTTCTGTCGCGATTTGAGCTTGGCATCTCACCCGGCGAGTCCGACAGAGTTGAACAAACAGAGTCCTTCGACGAGGAACGGTGGATTCAGACGGAAATTGGCCTAGAACTAGCTACCTGCCTACAAGGTCTGCATTGGCGAACTCCGGCGTATGCCTGATCGTCCTGCAGGAAGTGTACTCCTGCAGGAAGTGTACAAGGTCCTGGTGCGACTAGCCCGGAAGGACGCGCGTTTGT